ACATATTTCTGCCGCCAGGCAGTAACGTCAGCATTACTATTTCCCGGTTTTGAAGTGTAACGGTACTGGTGAAATTACAGGCACATGGGACTTGTCAACTTATGTCTCAGGGTGAGCAGTGGCAGTGCTCCTCAGATCTTTGCGATTTGAAATTCCGAGTGGCACTGCAACTATTATGGACAGGCGTGTAGCTTACCATCAGGCGCACGACTTGTTCGTCCTGTCACTTAAAATTATAAAAAAGTAACGGATTGACTTTTCAATAATAAACTGCCAATAGTGTTATTTAAAAAAAAGCTCTGCTAACTTAATGGTTGACCTACCGCGTCTCAAGTAGAGGCCGTAGTGGGTTCGAATCCGGGCCTCGATCTCTGAGTTTGTCGAAATTCAATTTGAAGTATACCGTGAGTTCTTCGGTAAAGGAAAACATTGTGATGAAACTTGTACGTCGAAGAAGGGTTCACAACCCGCGGAAATGTGTGGACCATGATCTAAATTCTCGCCTGATAGGAGACCCGTCTCCAGCAGTGGGACATATAAGTGGGCTGATGATGGGTGTTTCTTTGCCGAATTTTTTGTTGTTTTGCAAATAAAATAACTTATTTATACGATCGGATTTTCTTTCCGGTTACTATTCCGGCGATCTTCCATTACGTATAGAGCAAATCAAATGGAGCGAAGGATGTAGAATGAAAATGCCGCCGGTTTTCGTTCCGGTTTCAGGGGAAATCAATGTGTATATGTGTATGAGTCAATACACAAAGTAAACAATTGATTGAATCAACGTTTTCTGGCGTTTCGGGTCCTTTACGATTTAATAATCGCTGCCTGAAAGTAAGGTTTCGCAACTAAAGAGGGAAAATGTTATGTGAAGACATATCAATGGGCAAATTTTCATGAAGTTCTGGTATACATTGGTTTCCAAGTCTATATAACTAATATAATAATGAGGTAAACAACACTCATAGCTCCGCAATAGGGAAATCTTGTGCCGCGGGTGCCACGTGAGTCCATGTCTGTATATATATATGTATATATATATACAGGCTGAATAGACAACCAGATGTTACACTCAAACTTTCGAGAGAAATTAAATATAGGCCATACAAATATTTCAATATTTCTCCCGGTCCGGGAATCGAACTCGGGATAGCTGCGTGGCAGACTAGCTTGGTAACTATTCGGCCACGGAGGCAGTAAGTGCTAGCGGATGACAAATATAATAATAATAATGTGCCAGACAAATACACCGATGCGATGGTCTGGACTCAAACTAGGGAATTCCCTATACTATATGAGTACCAGAGCAACGAAATTCAATCTGGGTCACTTCTCAGAAAACCCATACCAGAAACAATTTATAGTCTTTTTCGAAGACGGAGTTAAATGATATTTGCAAGGTTGCCAGTTACCATAAAATTTGAAAAGACTATTTCATAGTAGTGTTGTCGACAGTTTTATCGATAGATTGTGAAAGAAGGTAACATTTCTGAATTTCTGAATTATGAATGTTACTACGTTCTAATGATTACTAATTGCGTTATTGTCTTCTTTATTCCTGTTTTGACCATAGGCCTATTAGTTCCGAAATATATTTTTATTCATATGCATTTTTATAAGGACAGGCGAATTTGATTATCCATGTTGAATTAAAATGAAAAACTTTAAATTACGTCTCGTCTTTGTATTTTTTTAATAGATATAATTCTACGTGTAGCGTATGTATATATGAACTTACAAATATGGACAATCCAGATGAACTTGTGCCCAGAGCAAGTCGATGATGAACTTTTTATTTCATAAGCGTAACCAACATTCAGTTGATAGTCGACACAATATTTATCGACTGCAATCACTAACTACATGCAAGCGCGCAACACCTTTTCGCAATGAACTGTTATTTTACTCCGTCTTCAAAGAAGACAGACTACACAAACGTTAATTTTTTTATGATATCAAGCGACGGAATGAACAAGTCGTGCTCCTAAGCGACATCGTTGTTCACAACAATTGTAATCACGCTCAGAGTTTTAAATAGCAAATATCTGATAGGCACTGCTACTGCGCTCATCACCCTGCGACATATGTTTGCAAGTTCCATATGCCTGTAATTTTACCAGCCTTCAAAACCAAAACGCAGCAATGCTCTCATTAGTGTTTGGTGGCAGAAATAGGTCATGTGCCAGTACTAAATTGGACGAACTCTTTCACAAGGAGCTCTACTGCTACTGACATTGGGACATCCCAATTTGGTCCTACCGAGAGTCAAACCCGGGACGTTCTCATTATTACCATCATCAGCCTATCGCAGTCCACTGCTGGACATAGGCCTCCCCCAATTATTATCTTTATTTTCTTCTCATCATCATTATTATTATCATATTAAAATTATTATTAAAATCATAGTTACCCGTTGGTGATGCCAAATTTAGATTGCTATTTAAATACCTGTAAAAACATTTTTACAATAAGGAATTGTTTCGTGTGGCGGCGAATATGCCGCTCGTCTGAACAGGTACTAATGTAAAATACAAGCAAGAAGACTCGTCACTAATTGCTGGTCGAACAACGAGCTTTTAACGTATTGGAAGCGTCGATGCGGTGTCGAGTTACGATGTAATTGACGAGGAAGAGTTGCCGCTTTGCTAATGTTCTTTTCGACTGTCTAAGGTGCGGTTATAGGAAGAAGTGTTTTTCTCTTGTATAAGAAATTAGATGACGTCATATCTAAAATAATTCTGGGATTACTGTTTGTTGTAAATAGCTTGATAAATTTTAGAAGCAGTTATAGCTCCTTGTGAAAGAGTTCATCCAGGGAAGTACTGCCACCTTACATACTTCTGCCGAAAGCAGTAATGCGGGCATTACTGCGTTCTGCGCTGTAAGAGTGCAGATGAAATTACATGCACATGGGACTTGTCAACTTATGTCTCAGGGTGACAGGCGCGGTGGCAATGCCCTTCAGATCTTTGCGATTTAACTGTGTCTGAGTGGCATGAATGGAATTGCCATTGCTCTCTATGGACAGGCGTGTTGGTTACCAGTACCAGGTCCTAGTGACCGCGCATGACTTGTTTGCCCCGTCACTTGATATCATAAAAAAAATCAAAATATAAGCTCCAATTGTTTCCCATAAACTTGAATAAGAATAGTGTGTTTATTACCATTAAGAAAGTTGATACAGTCAGTAACAACAGGGAATGGGCAGTGTTTGATATAGCTGTACGTTTGACGACAGAAGTAAATTACACGGTGTATTTGCAAATAAATTTAATATAGAGAAATTGTTTATTAATTTCAACTTTTACATTATTTTGACACGAACTATACGGCTACTTACATTATGGAATATTATTATTCTCCATAAATATCTATTAAGTATGGAGGAAGTTTAATGGACCGTGGCGTCTTGGATGATTGGTTTGGATTACATTCTACGACGAGCTTAGTCACTTAAAAAAACAAACATTATAATAGTAATCGTTTTTCTAAGCCTGGCTAACGCAAGGCGCCTCCCTCTTTACAATTATGACTATAAAATTAACCCTAGGCCATTTATGATAACTCCGTTCAAAGTGTAAGTGTATTCGGCACACTGTTTACTGTACCATTTGTTTACGCTTGAAATGTATATTCTAAGCGTTATATTAATACTTTTATATAAATACTTATTAACATTATTTATGTTGAACATTATTTGGTCACGTATAGTGTTTGCTACGTTGTGTTACGTTGGTGGCTCCACCAATTTACATTAGGTTCAAGAAAAAATCTTTTATACCAAAACCCCCAATAGACAGCTAAAGTATTCGGTTGGTGATACCCGGGCCGTCGGCATTCTGCTTGTCGGAATCTCAGAGGACTACTGTCCTTTCAGACTTCGACAAGGAAAAGGTACTCCTTTTCCGTGGAAATTGTATTTAAATTATGACTGCATATTCAGGGTGGCCCGGAAGTGATGGTCAACACGAAATGAGGTACGGTTGAGTATTTCCAATCTATTTGACTAATACAATGGGGTCCGCAAATTGATGGTTCAGAAATTATTAAACTTTTTGTGCTTTTTGGAAAACTCACTAAGTGCATCACTAAAAAAAATCTGAAAAAATATCCAGAAGAACTTTAGAAGTGATTTTTTTTGCATTATGTTTCTGAGATATGTATCTTTTTGATAGAGAACTCTTTTCATAAAATGAGCAAACATTATGTAAACTGCAAATAGTCCTTTAGTGAATAATTTTCTGTTCATAAAAAGCAAAACTTCGTTTTCAAGTGGTCAGTTTTTACATAATAATGATTCCGTGTCAAAGGTATGGTTTTATATTCACAATGCAATTTGAACACAACAATCCTGAATTTGAGGTACACTTGTTCAAACAATGACAAATACAGCAACAAAAACGTCTAATATTTCTACGTTTATTTCCAATGGCGTAGCGTCGATGTCTGCCATCCGGGGCTTAAATTTGCTGCCCCCTCTATATTTACGATATACAAAAGTAGTTCGTCCGGGCAGGCTTGCCTCGATTGTGTTTTACGTTCGCCTGCCGTCGCCACTTTTGTAATTTTAAGTTAAAAAAACAATAATTTTGACTAGTTAGTGCCGCCCGGTGCCATGGCACGCTACGCCACTGTTCAGTTCTATAATAAATAATGCCAGCGTGCGATAGGCGACCCGCAGTTTGCAACGCGAGCGTATGGTGAGATTATGGGAATGCGTCGGTACACGTTGCGCGGCGGACGTGTACACATACAAGCTTCGAACGCGCTTCTCACGAACGCTTGTATAGCTTTGTACTTGCGTTTGAATCGATCCAAACGCAACAATCTGCTTTTTGAGCGTTTACGGTGCCGTAAATACGCGTTCGTGAAACGCGCGTTCACTGCGCGTAAAAAATACATTGTGTGCACAGCCCTTATACCACGGTTTTTGTTTATTTTTATCATTAAATCAAGGGATGCCAATGTGGTAGTTAAGTATTCTATGTATATTTTTGCAGATGAATTTCGAAGCAGAACAGCATGTGAAAACGATGTCTTGAAATTGAGCTGTAATCCCTTCTCCAGGGTGGCTGTGTTCGATGCTCAGTATGGTAGAACTGCTTATGACGTCATCTGTCCTCAGAGACAAGGGGTATCTGATGAAAGTAAGCTATTTCTTTTCTTCTTTCGTCACTGATATATTTTGTATTATTTCAAACGACGTTGCGTTGTTTCTCTATACAAAATATTGCTGGGCCAATAACTACTACGTAGCTTTTTAGTTTTATTCCTGACTTATGGTATTAAACATAAATTGTTATGAGATACAAATACTGAAATAATGTTTCTATTAATTACCTGTCACAAGTTTGAACAGTGAGCTAGAATGACAGAATTGCTATCGGAGATAGACGCTGTTGGCCTCAGTTGTAATTTGTATTTATAGGTTCCTAAAACACGACACAGTTCATGGGACATCAAAGGTTTACTTATAATCTTGTTTAAGGTTATCCTACATAGTTTATACCGTAGCCTATAACAAATTTGAAGGAAACAAACTTCCATTACACTTATGATTTTAGCCACTATTTTCGCATTGCAAACACTTTGGGGAAGTTTTACAAATTCATTTATTCAAATCCTCCAAGTTTGTCGACGAAAACTTGGGAGCGGTTGAATTGGTTCGCAACATACACAACACAAAGTTACGTGTAACAACAAACACACGCGGATTTTCCTTTAAATCAGCGGATATGTCGTTGTGAGATTCCGTCGACGTATTTTTGTACAAAAACGCGCACATGTTCTGTGGCAAAAACAGTCACAAAATTACCACCTGTACGCCGCAATCGGAGATATATCTTTCGTATGATTGCTTTATCACGTGTTTCACGTTTTCGAACTAAGTAACAATCGTGTTACATGAAAGTCAGTCTAATGTCATTTCATTTATTTCCCATATATTATCGAAAGCCTTTTTATGAATCATAATACTAATGCAATTGGGTGAGATATAACTAGCCTACTAATCCTATCAATTATAACCACTTGCTATGATTATCAGAATACCGAAATTAAGACTAAATTTAAGATAATTCGTTTCATAAATTTGCCCAACCGGGAATCGAATCCAGGACCAAGCCCTTACAATTCTAACCGCAGAGCCCTGAAACTGAAAACATAGAGAATTTATTACGAAATTTATCGTATGTTACATTTCATTCCCAACAATATTGTTCTTTTTTTCAATCGTTTCCTCAGTGCTGAGAATCGTGACTCCATTTCATACCAGCTGGCTGAGTGGCTGGCAACACTACACATGCTTTCCAATTGTACTCTGTAATCCACAGTTGAAATATTCGTATTCACCAAAAAACATTAGGACTTATCTTTCTATACCTGGCATACATTTCTCGTTGTCGTTGGAGATACACGTCCTTTACGCGCCGCGCAAACCGTCTTATGTCGGATACAAGGAACCGGCTAGAAGTGAATACTCTATTTTCATAACATTAATATAAAATTGTATCGTATCGAAATACAGTCGCCGGTTGCGGCAACTGTAATTGTATTTGCCGCGGTTGCTTGTATTCGACACAAGATACACGCTTGCGCGGCGCCTTATATTATATCTTACAGTATATGTAGTATTATATTAAACAGGTGTGGTGGCATAAAAAAGCAAGCCTTTACGACATAACGTCATCATGCCAGCGTAACTTCACAGATAATAATTTCACTCAAGACTTTCCACAGTTGCAAATTTGTGATATCGAACATCTCGTTGACGAATGGTAAAATTTCCGGTAAAATAATATGGTAGCACATTTGTTTAACTAAGTCTGAATTTTTACAGGCTGCACAGCACCCCACGCTGCCGAAACGGTGATGCAGATCTGCCACGGTAAGCGGTGGTGCTCCATCACCGCCAACAACAAGACGTTTGGTTCACCCTGTAAACTAGTATCTAGAACGTATTTGAAAGTCATTTATGCTTGCGGTGAGTTTTATAAATTTGGTTACCATTGTTAATAATAAACAGAACGTAAGATTGACGGTCGAGGAGATTCTATACAATCTAATAAAAAGTTCCGAAAATGTCCGACTATTGATTATACACACAAGATAGACAACAAAAGGAAAATTATTTCGCGGAAAGCAAATTTGGTTTCTCGTTCGTCGAAACCAAAATCATTTTCGCTAATGATAAATATTGTATTTGATTTAGTATTGTTTGGCATTAACCCTTTAAGAAGTTGGCATAAACTACGAAAATATAATATATATGTAGACTAGTTTTTTAATGTGAACGTAAACTGAGTTTAGTTTCATATTTTTACTTATGAAATTGTTCTATTTCATTTAATGGCACAGCTTCTTTTATACACTTTTTAATTTAAACGATAAAGTGTTCACAGTATATGTTATAAGGAAATACGATGTACCTAGTACACACGTCTAACTTCTTATATTAACTTGTTTCTGTGTTAGAAATTATATTTACTTATTTATGTGTTATTCGTTTGATCGAATGACAGACACTACATATTAAGATTTGCGCCAGATCTTTGGTACCATTACTCGTTACACCAATTCTAAATATACAATACGTATCATACTTACTTTGCCTATTACATTCATAAGTAACATTAAAAGTTGTACTTTCTTCGTTCGAGTTCCACAAGTTAAGTTACAAGCTCATTTAGGATTGTATCTAAGTTGTAAATTCGTTCCTCGTGTTAGGTTCGCTGTTAATTTGTTTTGAGTTTTTTTTGTGTAAATTGTAAAAGTTTCTTTAATAATCTTGGTACTTCGTACGATTCTGTTTCATTTATAATATTTTCTATTACGTTTTAGGGCGAACATAAAGGTAAATCACCTTATTCTGTTTATACTTGTAATGTTATTCATTTTTCCTAATATTTTACGGCGGTTTATAATAAAAAGCCGTGGTAGCCTAATGGTTCGACTTACTGCCTTTTAAACAGAGGCCGCGGGTTCAAATCCGGTCTCGTACCTCTGAGATTCTCGGAATTTATGTGCGAAATTCAATTTGAAATTTACTGATGAAGGAAAATATTGCGATGAAACCTGGATGTCGAAGAAGCCTCGCAACGCTCGAAAAACATGTGAAGTCGCCAACCTATATTGAGCCATCGCCTCGCCTGAGAGGAGATCCGTTCCCAGCAGTGGCACGTTTAAATGAGTCGATGATGATGATTATAATTAATGAAGTACCAGACAACGACACCAATTACCTGGTTTCAAACTAGGGTTCCCTATACAATGAGTACCAGAGCAATTCACTCCGGGAGATTAGACTTAGAACCAATTTAGTAAAGTTCATATTCCAAATTGGTCCTACCGGTAATAGAACTCGGATCTTCCAGTGCTCACTGTGCAAACCGTTGGGCGTTTTATCCATATTGTTGTATTATTTTCATCATTGTTGAGTTAGTATAATTGATACTCTGTAGTACCCCAGGGTACTTGCTGTTTATCTTTATTTGTATGTCCAATAAAAAATAAATGTATTGTATTGTATTACACGGAAGTCACCTAGGTTTGCTTAAACTTATTAAGTTCATGTCTATACTCTTTGCTTCTGCACGAATCGAGGAGAGCGTCAGGGTTTTTATTCTTTTTTATTCTCATGAATTTTTACTGACCTAATAATTCTCATGTAAGAATAATTGCAATGGTCGTACTTTACTTTTACTGCCTTCCATTTTATATTCTACGTAGTTAACATTTTTAAACGGGTTTGGGGAAAAACATTTATTAAAAATTCAAATGGATATTATTTTAAGGTCTCACGTATATACTTCAAAGTTCAATGTGCGTGATGCACTGCAAGAATAGAGAGCAAAACGGACAACACACTGCACTATGTCCTTACGCTCAATATTGAAGCGGTTAACGACACATTGAAAATGGTTGAAACACACGCTTAATGTAACATAATACTAAAGCGTGCTGAAGGACGCTAACACATAAAACGTCTGAGGACTCATTTAAGTTCTCATTTTTACAAATGCAGAAGTAAAATAATAAATAAATAACGCACACACTCAACATAGCCCCGCACTAGGGAAACCCTGTGTCGCGGGTGCCATGGACACACACATAGACAACCACAAATTACACCCAAACTCACGAGAGAAATAATTGTAGGCCATACAACTATTTCTCTCGGCCCGGGAATCGAACCTGGGACCTCTGCGTGGTAGTCCGGCATGGTAACCGTTCGGCCACGGAGGCATTTAAAAAACATTAAAATTAACACGTAAGTAAAAAAAAATCTATTGCAGTTCCACTTGGAGTTCTCACGGAGAAATATGAAAGCGCATCAGAAAGAGACGAGATTGCCAATAGCGATGGCAAACAAAATGACATTGAAGGGGGCCTTTTTGATGATTCAGGTGATGTATGAATTTCGTTTGTGCATGTGGTTGCGTTGAAGTAAATAGTAGTAGAAAGTAAGCAGCAATGAGTCTTGGTAGAATCGTAAGGGTTCGATGTGAAAAAGTTACTTGCCGGGTTGCAGTATCTCTGATGGTTTCGAATATTAAAATTTTCAATACAAAATATAAGTTGAAAAAAGTTGCGGTAACCTATTGGCTTGACCTGCCGCCTCCCAAGCAGAAGTCGAGGGTTCGAATCTGGGCTCGCATCTCTGAGCTTCTCGGAATTTATGTGCGAAATTTAATTTGAAATTTACCAATTAAGGAAAACATTGTGATGAAACTTGCACGTGGAAGAAGGCTTACAACCCTCGGAAAACGTGTGAAGTCCCCCAACCCACATTGAGCCAGCGTGTCTCATGAGAGGAGACCCATGCCAACAGTGGGACGTATAAATGGCTTGATGATCGATTGTGATGATCGACGCTGTAAACTCATGGACAAGGTACAGAACACTTTTTGTGGAAATTCCATAAGGTTGTTGAAAACTCAAACAGTTACATAACTCTTAATTTAATATCGCAACCTTTGTATAATAAGGCTACGTCTACAAAATTACGACATTTCAGGAGAGTGGTTTAAAGATTCTAGGAACGAAATTAGTCGATAACTTTATCATGCTTAAATAGAAAACTCATAAAAATTCACATAAAAATTATGATTTGTTTCGTGTGATGTAGTATCGTGTTATTTTTATGATTTTCATGTGATTAAGGCACTTTTAACATATGATTTGATATGGCTTTATTATATCAAGAGTATATCACGTATCATACTATATATATCAAGGTATCACGATGTAGGGCAAAAACAAAAACAATATATTTATATTTTATAAGGTATTTAAGTAAAAAGAGTATCTAAAAAAAGAGTATTAAAATCCTTTGAAAAATGCAACATTGAAAACAAGTATTTTATTCCAAGAACTTGGATCTTAAAAGACCTTAAAAGTTTGTAGAACCTACTTGAATAATAAGTCCACATTAAAAAAAATAAAGCTCTCGCCATTTTTACGGTCAGTGATTGTCTGCCTTTTCCTTTTTACATTTTGCATAAGTGTTATTTTTCTTTGAAGTGGCAAATAAAAGAGTTATGTTTTCTTTTCGCATATTTTAAATATTTCACTGCTATAAAATGGCTGAAAGTAAACATGAATATGGAAAACTTTTAATTCATTTTCGTATAAACCACGATCATTGCAATTTATTCGGTAATAACAAGTTTCCTTCTAATGTTACATTTATTAATGCTAATATCGAGTCAAATAAATATAGGTATGTTCTTGTTTCCTTCTGATTAATTTTTCATTATATGTGTTTTCGAACCCCACTTTTACAGTCCGTTATGACGAAGCGGCCTATTACGAGCTTTTGTGGAACCAGTCTAGTTCCATCTAGTTCAGTTTACGTGACAAAACTGAAGTGTTTTAATTTGCCTTATGACTTACATCAAATTGAATGACTATTGCACGGCAAGATAATGGGTTTTTTAATATTAATTATTGTCTGTGGCCTGTCAACGCTGTTAACCTAAAGAGCGAGATAAAGCTATACAATAAATCCTACGAAAAAACGTAGCTGATTCACGATGGGAGCGTTAAATAAGAGTTTATCAATAGTGTACGAAAAAGGAAACATTATGTTTTCTGAAACAATTTTATTATTTATTGTACAAAATACGTTATTTTATAATATCGACGACTTTTTAATCTAACTTTACATTTGTTATAAGACAAAGTTACAAGTCTTGCCATAATAATTGTAATGATTGTGGTGAGTTTACTATTTGATTACAGAATTCTTATATTCTTACATCTACTATGTTCAGCATTTTGCCAAACTCAAAATTGAGGCTATTTAAAAGTTAACTTTACGTGTGTATAAAGTCACAACAATAACAATAAATATACCTCTTGTATCATAAACTTAGTAATTCTAAAAGCGATTGTTATTAACTTTATTCGTAGATGTACATTATAATCGAAGGCTGAGACATTGTAATATCGAATGTACCAGTGCAGATGCTCCTTTTCAACTCCCAGAATATTAACATTTTTAATCTTATTTAGAAGGAGCAAGTGAAAAATGGGAGCCCAATGCAGTCTCTCCTGTAGCAGATCCAGCTTTACAGCCACTTCCTGAAGAAAATATTTCACCGCCAAAAGTAGAGCAGCCAACAATACAAAAACCTGTACAAGAAAGAGATCCATCCTCAGGTAAGATACTTGAATGTGATATATTCACTTGCTTACCTATGTAACAATATAAGTATTCTTGAATGTTATTTTGATGTTTAGTTGTGTTCCTTATAAATTTCTTCATTAGAAATTTTTCAGTGCTGTAATATAGGCTGTTTGGGGTTAACCCTCTTTTCCTATATTTTGTGCAACACATACATATATACATACTAAATATAGGTGAAATGGATTAAGTATTTAAATTTTTGCTAAACTAACATTACGTCTTTCATGGAATTTGCAATCGCCACTTTGGCTCGACTCCGTAAAGTATTGCTGATTTATTTTTTTTACTGAATTTTTAGAATAGTAAAAAAAAAGCTCAAAAGGCTGGAATTTAAATAATTTTGTAATACGTCAATATATTATATTTTAAAACCTACCTTCAAGATTATTAATATTGTATTTTGAATACCTAAAACTAACTTTGGATATGAAATGAAAACCTTATATCTTTTATGTTTCTTTATATTAGCTTCATATTTATTAAGTCAGCTTTACTATTATAATTTATTTCTTTTATTTCGCTTCACTGAATGGGCTTTATCAGATCTTATTATTACTTACTTGTAATGGACCAAGCACTTGCGTCAAAACTAATACGTACTCCATTTTCTGTTTAACTATGTCCAAAATTGGCATTAAATTATCTATGGATTTTCAGTTGCAACAAATATATCATCAATTGCTTAGTTTGCTATATAATAATTCATACATTTATTTACTTTATCTTCATGATCCTAACATAATTATCAATTTGCATAGAAACATTACTTTACATCAGTGTTGACTGGAAATGAAATAAATAATTAATATTGATTTTAATTAAATTATGGAATTCGCGAACACAATAAATGTTGTAAATACATCGATATGAGATTTTCCGTTTTATAAACTTACACTGTTAATATTTTATAATAAAGTTTACCATTAAATTGAATTAAAGAAATCAGCCTCCGATTATTAAGAACAATTTTTGTGCTTCTGGGGTATCTCGATCTTAACTCTAGCATCTTTCACAGATCAAGATCAATCGACGAAAGCCAGCATGTTTATCTACATAGGCGTTGGTCTTCTAGTTTTCATCATCCTAACCATATTACTCATAGGAGTTCGCTGCTACATCATTCGAAAATCTTCGAGAACCTCCAAAACTGGGGATATGTTCACCACAGAAGCACCTAATATATTCAACGACGCCGTTTCTGATATAGATAACGATATCGACGTGGGACATCTTTCTGGGACATTCCATGATCCAATGCACCCTGATATGCTACTTTACAGAGACTTGCCAGGTAACAGAGGTACTTTGAGGGCCATGAGACCTTTGTCAACTATTTATCCATGTGCTGGAGCAAGTATGTACGGTGTTGACTACGTACCTCCGTCCAGAGACGTACCAGTTAGGTTTAAAGATGACGACGTAGCCCCAGAAATATTAAGTCCGAAGAGTTTAGACAGGTATTCTAGTTCTAATTATTACTACGGCTGACGGCGCGACACTGGAGGCAGTGATGACGTCTCCAGGACTTATTGCTTTTAGAAATGCTTATAAAGCAAGTATGTATGTATCTTATCTACATAATTAAATTCTGTATGCAATGAAATGAGAGAGAACATGTTATATTACTCATGTAATAGGGAAACATTGATTGAAGGTTTATGAAGCCTTTTTAATAAAATTTAAGAAATAAAGTACTTAAAGTTGATGCTTGAAATTTTTTCAAATTAACTTTTAACCTTTGAGTACACTGTTTTATTTTGGTACAGTATAGTTTACTAAATTTTTATTGCGTTGCGTTTAGTTTTTTACCTTTTTGTTCTTGAGTTTTTATATTACTTATTGAGTTTAATTGATTGCCCTGAATACTCACATATAGTCGTATCAACAATATTTTATTTTATTTCATTCAAAACGTACATTACTTATACGAAATTTTACTTTACACTAAATACATTTTTTTCGGTAATCAGTGTTGTTATTCCTAATAAAAATTATGTATCTATCCATTGACTTTGATATCTATCATAATTATATATATAACACAATTTGGAGTAACAAAAAAATGCAAGTTATCAGCTCACACCAGCGGGAGTTGTTTAATACTGTTACATAAGAGATTTAAAAATAAGAGCTGTCCTCAAAAAACTGCGCTGTCACATAAGACTTAATGAACACGTGATTCGTACAACGTATTTCAACTTTTTGGATATTGTTTTAATTTTTATTCTTCGTACTTATTTAATTCATGATCGATTGTTCTGCCCATGTAAGTGGCGCTCACCATATTATAGATTCAATTTATATTGCTGCGGAACGTAATGATGGCGAATTTTTGTAACGAAATTTGTACATAGCATAATGAACTTTGTATCAATTGTATAACGTTATTAGAAGCAGTTAGAGCTCCTTGTAAAGAGTTCATTCAGAGGAAATACTTTCACCTTACTTATTTTTGCCACCTAGTAGTAAAGCAAATGCGTAATAAAAGTAATGTAAATGCGTTCCGGCTTTAAAATGTAAGTTAAGGGCACTGGTGAAATTATAGGCACCTGGGACTTGTCAACTTATGTCTCAGGTTGACGGGCGCAATGACAGTAACCCTCATATCTTTGCGATTTTGTTATGAATAGGCGTGCTGCTTACTGCCTGGCGCATGACGTTTGTCCTGTCACTTGGTATAAAAAAAAAATTATATCTACGCGGTCATTAATTACCGTACTACACTATTACTATTATTACTGTCAGAAAGTACAATACAAACTTAAACGTCTACTTAGGCTTTAACGATTATTTTAAAATATTTACGTCCTATGTTAAAATTAAATTTTGATTCTAATTAAGTTTAAGCTTTAAAATTGAATTTAAAGCAGGACGTAAATATTTTGAAACTGTCGTGAAACTGATAAATTTCGCGCTTTCGCCCTCTCTACATAACACTGATGATAGTCCTGCGAAGTTGTTAGTATTTTACAAATAACCCTGTATAGAATTCCCACGACTGCGTGAAAATTCTCCGGAAGACGTGCAACCGGTTTTTTGGCTCCTAGGTAAATTGTATGTTACACAATTGACATAAGGTTCATTGTGCCATGGTTACAAAAACTCACTTCCATTCCATTCCGCAAGAAAGTAAATTGAACCTTCTTGCTTCCGAATTTATGTATACGTAAATTTCATATTTATATATATAATCTCGTTGTGTTCTACATCCGCCTCTTAGTTCTTTCAATATTTTCATCTGTGATGTGTGAAAGATGCAACATGTGCAACCAGAGACGGGCAAGCGCCTGGGTTAACCTGGCGCATTGTTAATGCCGTTCAATGGGGCTATAACCCATTAATGCTCGATCGAGACCAGAAACTATTTACAACTAAATATTTGTAAATCAAATTTTGTGCAAATGTAATGATATATTACAAAATATTTATTGCTTGATTACATATTTCGCCTTTCTATTGAATAGATTCGCTTGAAAATCGCATTGACATGAATCGATTAAAATCATTGTTGTATATGATGTACACTAGAATCGGTTCTCATAAAATATCGAATAGTAATGTGCATGCATAGTAGTAAGTGAGAGTCCACAGTTTTGCAAGGTGGGTATTATGTGGAATTGCCTCTTTTCGTCTAAAATACATTTTTACGTCTAAATTCCTGAATGTATGGAATTGTACTAACTTCCGTATTAATTTAAAACCCGACGTTTTAGGTAAAAACGGTGGGTTGGTTGAATTTTAATCCACTGCCCATCTCTGTGTGCAACATATTCTAGTTTTGTTTTCTATTCAAGTTAAATTGGCACTAGTACGACATGTTTGCACAATTCAGTAATGAATAGAAATGAACACGTTAGAGGTAGATTACAGACAGTAATCATTAGCAGTAAAACGCAAGCTGCATACGGCAATCGTGAGATAACCGGGCCGCCACCGCCACATTGGGATTCTGTAATAACCGTACCTACTGTTCATGTAGCATTCCCTTTTGTGGCAGTATAACAACTCTTTAACAAGCGTAAGAAGAGCGTAAAGTTCTTAAGTTGTCTCTATTAAATTTGTTCTAGAGTAAGGTTGGGGTTAGTTTTGAGCTCTAGAGTGGTGGCTAGTATTTACTTTTCACATCAATGTTCATTATGTTAGTACGAAAATTTATTTAAAATCACGTTTAGTAATTTTTTAATATTTAAATAGGTATAACGAGTATAGAGAACCGCAGCCGCGGCACAAAAAAATTGTTTTTGTATTTTATGTAGTTTTTTGTTATTGAAATTCTAAATTAAAATGTACTACTACTTTTTGCCGCCATTTCTTTGATTTGTCGTTCATTTGTTTTGTTTCATGCTCGTGCCTATAATATACGTGGCCATATAAACTGTTAGTACATTTTATCTTTGGTCTTGCTAAGTCCTTGTTAACACCCAAACCCTGCTTTTGCAGTCCACTGCAACGATGTAGCAGCAGATTCAAGTTTGAAACTATTTTGATAACACATTGTTGGTGATATGTAAACCTGGGCTAATCGGTAACATGTAGTGATTCGGAAATTTTTATTCTTCGTTTATAACGAAATTTGGAGGAAAAGCAGTAACATCTACGGTTTTGTTCTCTGTGTAAATTGACAGGGCTGCGATTTCGTCAATAATAATTTTCAAATGGAAGCGATGAGTCGGCGGATTAAAGAATGCTGAATTTCCTTGCCGTGTCGTCCTTGTCCTTTACTAGCTGTCGTAACTAGCATTAGGGAAATTTTACAGGCCTACCAATTTTCGTAGCTTATGTTAAACTCGTTTTAAAACGGTACTGCAACGTACTATTTTCCGTAAATAAATTAGTTATATTCACAATTATAAAAAGATAGAAATATGACAATTTGTGTAGATGTTCGATTTTGGAAGTTTTCTTACTGACTTACGACAAAAAGTCTGATGCGGCAGTTAGTATGAAAAGGACGATATTGGCCTAAATACTTATTTATTACCTAGCCAACGTCATCCTACTTATTTTTCTACACAAGCATATTATCCTTCATACACCGCCGTCTTTATCCTGTGAATTATATAATTACTGCTATCCAAAGTTTGTCTGGCAGAAATCGCTTAAAGCGATAAGACCGCCCATTGTACCACCGCTTATTTTTAATTTAATTGTATTATTGTATTAGTTCCTTTTTTGGTGTACAATAAAGAATTTTTGTATTGTATTGTATTGTATATTATGTTACAAGTCTATTTAGTTTAAAAATCGGTATTACGCTGTGACATGCTGAAGGTGTGAAAGTGACTTCCCACAGTCCGTGATATTTACCAATCACCTCACACGAGCTCGCATCCGCACACAAAAAGAGACGGTACTCGTCATTGTGGCAGACGCGTCCGTAGCTGTGTACGTACCGATGAGTACCCGTATTATGTCTTTGGTTAATTATCAATATGAAAAGGGTGGGATCGATATGTGGCTGTCTACAGTCGTCTCTTGTGTGAAGAAATCTGTAAAATTACAGATCGTTTTATGCCGACTCTATATGGCATGTAGACACGTACAGGAAGTCACGTTTTATTTAGAAGATTCCTAACAAGTGATGTATAAGTTAATAAAGTAACACCGGTACCGTGCCTCTGTACAAAAGAAGGATTTAGCATAATCGCCATACTTGGCATACAGATTGGCGAATGTTGAAAAGCTGTAAAAACAATGAGATGCTGTACCATACATTTATAATTTATGCAAGTTGCTTTCATTATTTGGGTAAAAGTGTAACTAAGTAAAATAAGTGGTTTCTAGGAATTATATATTTTATATTTGTCGTTTTGCTTATTTACATCATAAAGTGCAACGACGTAAATCGATTGTAGTTTTTTTTTGCAAAATTACAATATAATTTGACAGGGATGAAATATGAAATAATTGTAAATAAAAAATAAATTACATAGACATAGGTAATAAGATTCGTCGGTAATGCTAATAGCTAGCCGAGTGATATTGAAAGAGCGATCGGAAAGATATGTATTTTTTTCTAAAACTAATAACTCTAAGCAACGTTCCCTAACGATTCTTAAGATTTGCACTAAAACATATCGACCCGTATTCGCACTTCTTAAGGTTTAAATTGCAATGCAATTTAGTTAAATTGTCTGTGATTTAATTTATTTATCTCTTACCATAAATTCTGACCTAATTGTAAATTTCATACTTTTGTGTATAATATGATATTGGGATTTTATTTTAAAATTATGAAGGGTGTTGCACAATTAATTCTTTTACTGTAGCTCTTCTTAGTATTAATATGATTATGTAATTCAGATTTTCCGTTTATACATGAAAATAACAATCAGGGTATTCATTTAATCTAGTGGCATAATTTTAATGAAAACCTTCATTTAAATTATGCCACTAGATATGTTTAAATTATGTTTCCGGATAAACAGTTTTATCTGCTAAAGTTGTAGATTCTGGCTTTAAGTTTGCTGAAATAGTGTCCAATGCCCTTTATAATAAAATGTGAAAGAAAATTTTTTTTACATCAAATTTTGTAAATAAAAAATTTCAGAAATTGTGTTTAATTTTCGCTATCTAAGCTGCACCAAATGGATCCATTAGCCACAGTGATGCGACGGTTTAACTTTTTTATTCCTTTTATTTTCTTTTGATAAATGCCTCGTATAATGATTGCGTGGTTTAATGTCATT